CTTGATTCCTTAGAAGCAGCAATGCTTTCTTATAACAAAGGTTTTTATACTATCAAGTATATCAGTTAAACAGTTCAATTGCTTTGTATGTTACATATAATTTTCAACAACATACAGGAGTCTATATGGCAGTTAAGAATCCGGTTATTATCAGAACAGAATTCCTTAAAATATTGTCTTCCTTTTGATTATAATTTCCCTTTTGGATGTTTATGGGAGGACCCCAAAACCCTCAGAATTATCTTTTGGAGGGCAGGCCCCGTGTAGTACACTTGGAACTTGTTCCTTCAGATCACATGGTCAACCAAAGTTTAAGTTTTGAGGAGGTTGCACGATTTGCGGAAGAAACGTCCCGAGTTATGGCAAACAGGTATCTGGTTTTTCCACAATGCACCTGCCTGCACCACACTGAACGTTCAGCAATTTTTAACCAAAAACAGCATGACCCTGATTCTCACTCTCCCTATTTACCCAATCTCCCCCTGAGCGATGTTTTTTTATTTTTATTTTTCTCCAGCTAAAAAAAGTTCTCAAATGGAAACATTTTGCAGATGTGGAAGAGGTGAAACAAACAAAAGGCAGAAGCACTAAATGGCATCAAAATTGATGATTTCAAAAACTGTTTTGAGCAGTGGAAAAAGCATCTTGATAGGTGTATTGCATCAAACAGACAGCGCTTTGAAGGTGACTTAAGTTTAAACATGTAGGAATACACATTTAAAAAAAATAAACTCTGAGTTTTTTTTTGTGCTCCCCCCCGCCTCCCGTAAGTGCTGGTCTGTCTCTATCATGGGGCGAGAGGTGAGAGTTTCATAATTCAGTCTTCCAGGTAATGCTAGAAAAGTACTTTAACATCAGGATCACCCACAAACACTCCTCCACTTTTGTTGGTTTTCTGAGTCGGGGTCTCACTCTGTTACCCAGACTAGAGTGAAGTGGCATGATCACAGCTCACCGCAGCCTCAACCTGTTGGCCTCAGATGATCTCTCCAACTCAGCCTTGAAGTAGCTGGGACTAGAGACACATGCCACCACACCTGGCTAAATTTTCTTTTTGGAAGGTAAGAGGTCTCACTATGTTGCCCAGGCTGTATTCCTCCACTTTCATAGGCTGAGCTGTTTCAGCTTAGAGTCTCTATATCTTATCTATCTTTGTAACTTCAGCACCTAGCATATAATAGGCACTCATTAGCTAGCTGCTGAATGAAGCAAAAAAACCCCCTTATCTGTCCAAAGATAAATTTCCACTAAAACTTACTAGAACATCTTTATTGGCTCCACATGAAACTACATTAGCTCCACTTTCTCACATACTGTTATTTCTTTAAATATATTTTAATTGCATATTTATTTATACAACAATGTCCACCATAAAAAAATCTCTAGTTTATTAAAATTAGTCTCAGAAGAACTGATTGAATTTGATATCAGATTGAATCTTTCTCATATTGTTCTGTGGTATCTCCCAACTCCGATTATAATGCTTGCAATACCCTTTAGCTGTTCATAAAGTCTTCTGGGTTTTATTCAGGTCCAAAGAGGGAAGATGGAAGTAGAGACAAAAAGGAGAGCTTCAAGTCAAAACTCCCATGCTGATCAAGATATAAACATCAGACAGAGAGGTCACCTCTGCAAAAGACTATCTCTGTAGTTTAGTTAGCCTCTCTGAGACTTGATTTTTTTCATCTCTAAGGCAGATTTATCCTAGAATCTTTCTGGTTCCTTTTTAGCTTCAATACTCTACGATTTGGTTCTAATCTAATAATAGATGCACAAACTGAAACACTAATCATATATTTTGCTGGAGGCTGATCAGTCCTTACCAAATCAGGAATGAAAGAATGTTTTTCTTCTCACTTACAGCAGAACCTCAGAAAGCTAGGCGTTGAAAAAGCCCAAGTAAGCTTTTTAAAAATTTTGGCTGGAACAATGTCTTATGTTATTTAATAATTTAGACAGTGTCTAGGTTTAAATGCTATAGCATGTTCTCAACTGAGGCTGTACACTGGCATCATCTGATGAACTTTATTTTACTGTTGCCTGGGTCCCACCCCTAGAGGTTCCTAATTTGTCTGAGGTGCAGCCTGGGCATAAGGACTTAAACAAGCTCTCCAGGTGATCCTATCATAAGGGGACAATTACTGGCACAAAGCAATGAATCCTAAATGTTCTCACGAATCAGTCACCTGTAGGGATTACTGAAACACAGATTGCCAGGTGCTATGTCCAGAGTTTCTAGCAGGTCTGAGATAAAGCCCAAGAACTTGTTTTCTATTGAGTTCCCAGGTAATGCTGATGCTTTTGTTCAGAGACCTTGCTTTGAAAAGCACTACCAGTGAAGAAATAGCATTAGTACTGGCACCTGAAGTCCTTGGTTTAAATCCTGATTCTATTATTACCACCTATGTAATCTTAAAAAAGTAATTTATTCTTTCGTCTTTACTCTCCATCTAACAATATTTAGGTCTCAGAATTGTGACACACAAACAGTGTACCAGTCAGGGTCTGGTATAGTCCCTAGAATAGAATATACAACAAATATAAACCTTTTTTTCCCATTGTACATGGCTAGATGGTGCAATTAAGCTAAATCGACAACACAGAAGTTAAAAACTTCACAGGAAAAAAGACCAGACAATTGAAGCAAACAATATCTTATTAGAATTATAAATATAAAGTACAGAATGATAAATAAATGCTTTAAGTATAGGGTCTTAAAAATAACTGTTCAATTTCAAAACATTGACTATAACAATTTGGGTAGTACAAGCAAAAAACCAAAGAGGTTTCTTCCCTGCTTGCCAACTGTTTTACTTTATGTCTCTCAATGTCCTCTCAGGGTGAATGTTCACATCGAGGTGGATCCTGGGAGGCAAGCAGGTGTATTGTAGCAACCGCTGTATGTGCCTTCATAGATGGGAAGGCACCAGGGCTGTGCCCCCACAGTGTAGTGAGTTGAGGCAAGAACTGGGATACTGTCAGTGTTTCTCTGTAGAACCTACAGTGAGTCTCAAAGGTATGGAACAGTTCAGATTAAAAAGCATAAGCTATGTCAGGATCGTTTAAAGCAAGTTTCTCATTCAACCAGAGAGGCAAGGTCTTACTGGGCTTAAAAAAAAAAAAAAGAAAGAACAAGAGTTTTTCCCTTCCAATCTAGCCTGATGCCGTATGTGACAGCTTTTTTTTTCTGAATTCCTGGAAAAAAAAAAAAAGAAAAAGAAAAAAGTAATGGCTGTCAGTATATCTTCTTGTAAAACTGTGAGCTTCTCAGGGTTCTATTTGTCCCCTTCCTCCACGGAACCTTCTCAAATGCCCCAATTCTTTCATTTTTGTTGTCTGCAATATAAATCTGACTTCAACTTATATTGTCCTATGTGGCTAATTCCATTTTAGTGTTCTCTTCCCAAGTGAAACCCAAAAGCCCTTTAGGGATGGAGGGTATGCTTTTTACTTTTTTGTCTTGAAAAAGCTGATGTCCAAACAACTTTGTTTAATTACCAGATTGTCCACGCTAAAAACTGAATAGCTTGCCTGTAGGAAAATACTCAAAATCTTGCTGCAAAAATTAATGTAAGGCCTGCAGTATAGTCAGTATATTTGCGGAATGGAAGTGATTTCTTAAAGCCAGAAAATTCCCTCAGTTCAGCTATCCTTAGTGCTTAAAACCAACCTGAAATGAACACAACCAGGGTGGTTCCCACCTCAGCCACATCCCTGGTATTCCCTGGCCTCCACTTATCCATCTACTCCTTCCAGGTCCCATGAAACACCCACATTTCCCTAACACCAAAACTCTTTTCCTTCCTTTCTTTGCAAAATGGTTTGTTAATTAAAAGCCATACCCAGTGTGAAGTCTTTCAAAAATCTAGCAATCTAGGCCCTCTCATTTTATTTTTATTTTTTGAGTTGGAGTCTCACTCTGTCACCCAGACTGGAGTGCAGTAGCCGCTCCCAGCCACCACAGCCTTGACTTGCTGGGCTCTGGCTATCCTTCCGCCTCAGCCTTCCAAGTAGCTGGAACTACCGGCATGCACTACCATGCCCGGCTAATTTTTTGGTTTATTGTAGAGATGAGGTCTCGCCAAGTTGCCCAGGAGGGTCTTGAACCTGCAGGCTCAGGCAATCCATTCACCTCAGCCTCCCAAAGGCGCGGGATTACAGGCTGAGCCACCAAGCCTGGCTGGCCCTCTCATTTTAACAGAATCAGAAGCAGAGTTGATTTTGTGGCCATCTCGCCAGGGAGACAGGGTTTTCTCAGGTTTGCTTGTTACCAGAAACTGAAGAGATTTGTAGGTAGCTTGACAGGGTTCAGCGCTGCCTTGCAGTCAATGCTTCTATCCTTTAAGAGTATTTTTACTGGGGTGGTCTGACCCCTGACCATAGTCATTCCAGCTAGTCCTTTAACAGGACTGTGAGGTATCAAAAAGTCAGTTGGGTAGCCCAGGGATTGGCAAGATTTGCTTTTACACCTCAACGTGTTTTGAACAGATTGACTTGAGTAGAGTTGGATTATGGCAATTTACCTCAACTTCACCATAGTTATTAGAAGAAATATTGTTATTCTCAAATTTTTAATTAGTTGCTTCAGTTATTGTTTTAATACCCCAAATTGAACAACCTGTTTTAAATCTCCTTCCCTTGTTCCTACTACATATGCTCTGCAAGTATCTCTTTAAATGCTTCAGTTATGATCCTTTAGATCAGAAGCCTAGAAACCACAAAGTAGCCTTGTCACCTCTTTGATTCTGCATAGGCATCATCACTGTACTAGCATATATGCATATGCATGCTTTTAACAAAAAGTAAAAATGCTATTCTCATTCTCCTTTGTCTCAAACAGGCACACAGGTATGTAGTTAGAAATTAAATAAAGGCCACAAAAACTTCCCAAGGAAGATCATTAAGAAGAAAAATCCTCTCGTCCTCTAACATCACACAGCTGGTCTTTAAGACATGCCAACTAAGAAAAAAGGCATCACCACAGTGACAGGAAGACTGAATCTTTTCCTCTTTGGGTGGTAGCTGAATTTCTATTGGAAGTCCTAGTAAAACATATAACCCCTCATTTATTCTAAGCAAGTCTTTTCTTCACTTTCCTTCAAACAATACTTTTACTTTCTCATTCGAATACAAAGATTTGGAGACTGTGAAGGGTAAAGTTCGGGGTGGGTATCAGTCACTTTAAATCACATGTTGGCTATGCAGAGAGAGGGAGAATGGCTGGGGAGGAGGGTGAGAGAAACATATCTTCACTGGGAGCACTTTCAAAGTTGTTGCCGATATCTCATGAAGGCCCAGGCTGCTACCATGGTAAGGGCAAACACTGGCACCAGCACCATCAATATGGGAATACCACTTGGGTCCCCTTCACTTCGATGTCCTATAGGTCCATTCTGCATCTGTAACTGAAGGGAAAGAAAAATGTTAACTCTAGTGACATGTGTATTGACCACAACTGAAATGTTCAGGTTAATACCACCCAAGTCTCTAGACCACCTAAACCCATAATCCCCAAGCATCACCCAGCAGAAAAAGTCCTCTCTTTGGCCTGAGCTGATGCAACAGTGTCACAGAATCTTGGGAGAGAAAATAGGTCCGACAGGGAGGCATTCAACCTTGCTGTGCAACTGACCTAAAGGGCCCTTGAGGGCAAGTCAGGTAATTTCTTTCTGTTTCTGTACTGCCTCCTCCACCTCTCTATTTGTGTATCATATTAGGAAAATGAAGGCAAGAGATGAAACCTATGATCCTAGGGGGAACTTTGTTATTACTGGGTGGGAGGTGAAGGGGGGATTTTTCTGGAAAGGTTTACTTAGAAAGATTATTGATCATCAGAATACAATTAAGAGAGATCTGGGTAATGTCAACACAGGTACAACAACCTTTCTTGAAAATGCTTTCCAATTCCTAGAAGTCACCCACTCCCTTCTAAGATGGGGTCTTATCCTTCATCCCCTAGTTTGTAACACAGGACAGAGATAAAGGTGAACCCACATGGAACAGAGGTTATTTTTTAAAAGTAAAAAGAAATGATATCCTAGTGGTGGCAAATTTTCTATTGTCTAATGTTTCCTTTTAAGGCTGGATGGTCTTCATTTTAGTCATTTTGTTCAGGGTGATCCTTCTTATGGTCAACTCTTAATGGCTAACTTGAAATAATTATGGTGCCATCTTGCTTGAGTTAAATTTATCTTCCTCATTACAATTCATAAAACTCTAACCCTTCAACCTGCACAAACTACCATTATGCCTTCTCTTTTACCTCTGCATCTTTCAATCATTTGTTGATAAGATGTCCTGAGAGGCCATGCTAAAGAAGAAGACATGGTTTTTGGGGATAGGCCAATTCTCTGAGCAGGAGGGTCTGTTTTACTAGAAATTAATTATTTATAAATGTCTTCTAAAAAGTAAACACTGGAAGTCACTTCCCATGTACCTTCAAAAAGATCTGTAACCATATTTAAAGTACATACCTATACTTACTTGTCTTTATCTACTGCATAAATTATCCCATGATTTAGAGAGAAGAGCCAAGCCAGAGAAACAACTGGGACCAATACTGTCTCTTATCAACTTGTGTTCTAATCTATTACACCCAGATTCTTCTTGCAATCTTGGTTGTTTTCTCAGATCTCTTTCATGTTTTACCTTTTCTACTTTTCTAGTAGGTCCCCTGTCCTCTTAAGCCTCTAAATTCTTTCTCAGTCACTGAGTGAGGAAGAGTGCACCCATTTAAGGAGTAATTTTAAAGGCACACCAAACCTGCATTGTGAATACATTCAGAAATCCTCAGCACTGCAGGAGGAATTACTTCTACCCAGGCTCTCTTTCACATCATCCAAAGGATAAAATGCCAGGAAATAAGAAGCAGATACAGGAACAAGTGCTGCCTTTACTTAATTCTGATTTCCATCTCCTCTTCCACTAGAGCTCTCCTTTGAATACTAGAGCTCTGGTCAAAAGGATCACCAAGCTGGTAAGTGAAGAGTTTGTGGCAATGATAGGGAAAAACATACAGTGGGTATCAAAAAATTCACCCTCTTTGTAGTTAGAATTTTATAAATTGGTTTATAAATAAGTGTTCAAGGGCAGACATATGGTTCCTTTCCAACCAAAAAGTAAAATTGACCCTTTTTTCACCATCTATTTTCATTTGGTTGTCAAGCTTTACCTGTAAAGCATATTACCTTGAACCAGGGCTGGATTGCAAGCATACTATTAGAGATTTCCCTTGATGATAAGCAGAAGTACCGGGGACCGTTTCCTTTGACAGAGAAACTCTCCAGAAGAGAATAAAACTGACAAAAAAACAGCACTGAGGATGACAACAACCAGGTTTATTCACAAGATTGGTACAAGTGGTCTCTGGCTGCAAATGACACATACCCTGTGCTGCACTCTCAGGGACACAGCATATCCCGCGTTACGAAAGAGGTCTACAGCATCCTGGTGCAGCAGGTTCTTCAGGTCTTGGCCATTCACCTATCCAAACAGCAAGGAGAATAATAAGAAGACAGAAGGTTAACTTTCACAAGTCAACAATGTATTTTCATGTGGCCCAACTTTTAAATAACAAACTCCTTTAGAGCAAATTCCAAGGGCTAGGAATATGGGCGAAGTTACTTACAACTCTTACAACTTATTTCATTTTCAAAGCTACGTTTTTCTGGAACTCAAGTCCCACAGGTCATTTGAAGAGAACAGAGGTACAAATAAATACATAAAATCAAAAACAGACTTTCCATCTGCTTAGCTTCTCTACCTGTCTTGTTTTGACACATGGGATTCTGTTATTGTACCTGAATGTCTCCCATGAGCATGAGCCTGCTTCCCCACAGCTAACATGACCTTCCAGGCTACTATCCTATTCTTTATGTCTCTAATCCCTGGCATTGACAGCTGTAACTCTAGAAACATAACTCTAGGAAACTCACCTACAATTTACTTTGATGTGGTTCAAATTTACACTAACCCATTCTATTGGTCTTGCTCTGCAATGAAAAATTTCCCTTAATTCCATGGATACTCCTGTTTTCCTCAAATTTAGTAAAAACCATCTTTCCATGATGATACAAACCCTTAAAAAACATTTCAATGCAGATCACTGTTACCACTTAGAGGTGAGAGATGTGAAGGAATACTGCTACTGATACTTTTTGGTGTCAGGAATGACACTGGCCACAAATAATACCTATCTTCTGTTGCACTTAATGGCATAGCACAGCCCTTTTGTTGCAAGATCACACATCTTTTATACATCAACATCACCATCAACAGCAGCAAGAACATCCAATATATTGGATTAATTCTGTGCTTTACATACATTATTTAATTTAATTATCACAATAATCCTATGACACAGACAATATTTTTTATCTCCTTTCACAGATGAAGAAATTGACACTTAGCAAGATTACTGAGTGTAGGAGGTAGGGTTTTTAAGTAATGAAAGGTACAAGTACCCTTGCATTTCACTGTTCTTTCTGCACTATTAATCCTCCATCTTGATTTACCAACTATCCTCTGCTCAGTGGAAGCTCAAGCCATTGACTTATATCAACTCTCTCACCTTCCTTGTCACAATCTTCCTTCTCCAAGGTTCATAATCTTCCCTATATTCTATTTCCTACCAATATATCTGGTAAATGAATCTATGACCAGTTCTGCCTTACAGACTGTCTACCTTCTTAAATTAATAGTTTCCAGCTCCATTCTACTTGGTCACCAACTGACATAAATTTAGGCTTAAACGTCAGACATACTTCAGCTCTAAAATCTCAAACTCTTAAAAACTTGAGCCCAATTTCCACTCATTTCACACTTCCTATTATCCTCATCAGAGTCTTTAACTTTTTTTTATAGACTTTACTTGAGTCATCTAGGAGTTCCTGTTGCAATTTCAACAAAGCACTTGGTAAATCATTAGAATCCCTTGTCCTATGATCTGCTGTCATCTTTCCAGTCCCGGACAACTGACTGCATCTACTTTTTTTGCTATCATGGAGTTGAATAAAAGGGTACAGTCACACTCTCCACCATAGATCCATGCTAGCTGCCTCCAGCTCATCTGTAAAAACCCTTCTTATCTAATGAACTCCCTAATAAATTCTCAGTGGTAGTTGTTCCAGATCTTTTTCCACCATTGAACTCCAAGCTCAATTCTATTTCTCCCTTGAGATTCCTTTGCCTCATTTTTTGTGAGAATACTGAGAACTTCTCATAACCATGCTCTCCATTTTTTTCTCCCTCCTCCAAGTTTCTGTATATCCTCTTACTGCTACTTTCCCCTGGTCTCTGTGTTAGATCTACTGCCTGTGTCAAGGCCAAACCAGCCACTGATGCTCATGATCATATTTCTTCCAGCCTCCTTACAGAACTCACACAGTCACTTTCTCCTCTTGATTATCTTTCTCTGCCCCTTCTCAACTAAAATGATCACTTCTATAAAGAAATCAGCACAAATATTTCTTGGAATCCACTGTCATCCTCTTCCCATCTCCATTCCTCCTCCTTTCACTCCAAAAGTTGTTGAAACAACTGTTTGCATGCACTGCCAACACTTACTCAGCGTTCACCTTAATTCCCTTGTAATCTCATATTATACTGAGAGGAAAGAACATGTTCTCCTAAAACTCAGCTGTAACTTTCAATCACCAAATTCTATAGCCCCTTCTCAGTCTTCAGACCTCCCTCTTTCTTTTGTAATTTTTTCTTACCTTGGCTTATGACACTGAGGTCTTCTAGTTCTTAAATTATCCCTTTCCTGTTTCCTCTCCCCTTTCTTCCTTCTTAAGTTGAGTAAATGTTCTTAAATGTCAGTCTTCCCTCCTCTCTCCCATGATCAGCTTTCACAATTTCAACCATAATGTTTAAGACAACTCCCAAATTTGTATTACTATTTGTACTTCTGGATTTGCCAGTTTCCTGCTGGATGCCTATACTTAGATATTCTGCTATTCCCTAATTCAACATACCCAAAACTTTATTACTTCCCACAAAACCAGAAAATACACATCCTGACTTCTTTCTTATTGCCACTATCATTACCTCAGACAATTTTGATAATATTTTTAAACCTTCTCCATGCTGTCAACCCTCACATAAAAAATATTACCAATTCTGTAGTCCAACACCATAACTATGTCTCTCATATGGTATTTTCTTTCCTATTGTCTCTCTTTTTAGGCTGTTGATACTTTCTGACACACTATTCTCTAGGTCTGCCCCCATTCCAGACTACTCAGATACTATACCTCCAGATTAATCTTCTTAAAGTGGAACTGTTAGTACTACTTTACTGCTGAAAAATACAAAAACAACAAACTAGGGAACAAGAACAGCCCGATTTCTCATGCTGGCATGCAAAGTCTTCCAGAAAATTGTTCCAACATACCTTTTCAATGTAATCTCTCTGTACTCTTTTTCATATATCCTATGCTCTAGCTAAGTCACATGTTTTATGTCCCCTGATACTGGGACATAAAGCACATCCTTTACCTTCATAACTGTGCTCAAGCAATATATACCTACCAATCGAATGCCCTCTCCTTTAAAAGAATTATCTTTATCTTCCAGGATTGATCTTAAAAAGGATCAGTTCTGGTCAGGTTCGGTGGCTCAGTCTGTAATCCCAGCACTTTGGGAGGCCGAGGCAAGTGGATTGCCTGAGCCCACGGGTTTGAGAACAGCCCAGGAAACTTGGCGAGACCTCGTTCCCACAATAAATCAAAAATTAGCCGGGTGTGGTGATGCGAACCTGTAGTTCCGGCTACTTGGAAGGCTGAGGCGGAAGGATCACCGGAGCCCAGCAGGTTGACACTGGGGTGGCTGTGAGTGTGCCACTGTACTCCAGCCTGGGCGACGGATTGAGACTCCAACTCAAAAAAATAAAAAAAAAATACATGTATGTAGTTTCTGTTATAGGTCACACTTTAGAAGGTTTGAAAAACACGTGCCTACAGCAGTGGTTCTCAAACCTTATGACACAGACTCATTAGGGGAATGGTTACGATACAGATTTTAATTCTTTGGATCTGGGTAGGGTCCTGAGATCCTGCACTAGAACAAGCTCCCAGATTGTGGCCAAACTGCTGGTTCTTCAACTTTACTTTTAGAACCCAGAGCTACTCAGCTGAGTAATCCCAGAATTGCTAACCTACTTCAGCTTCCTTAACTCATTACATAATAAGTTGTATTGAACCTGAGATATGGCAGATTTGCAACATGCTAGAAAATTCTGTGACTCTGAATGTTCAGAGAATCAGGACGGTGTTGCTCTAGTTACTTGATGGGGAAACATCCCATTTTTTGCTTTAACTCTTGGCTATTAGCAGTCTTTAAAAATGTACTTCCTGATCGGACGTGGTGGCTCAATCCTATAATCCCAGCATTTTGGGAGGCTGAAGCGAGAGGACTGCCTGAGGTCAAGGGTTTGAGACCAGCCTGGGCAACTTGGTGAGACCTCATCTCTACAATAAATCAAAAAATAAGCCAGGCGTGGTAGTGCGTATCTGTAGTTCCAGCTACTTGGAAGGCTGAGGTGGGAGGATCATCTGAGCCAAGCAGGTTGAGCCTGTGGTAGTAGTGACTGTGCCACTGCACTCCAGCCTGGGCAACAGAGTGAGACTCCAACTCAAAAAAAAAAAAATTTAAAAATGTGCTTTCTATTTCCTGCCTTATGAAACAAGCTGAGTTAAAATTAGGCTTTATTGAAGATTAAGAATTTTGAATTGCCTCAGGATAATCTAAAACAGAAGTTCTGACTACAGAATTATATAAATGTAGATGTGGTGGCATAGGGAAAGAACAGGCTCAACTTAATGAGCACAGATCTTAGACTATACTCTGGATATTTTAATTTTTTACCAAGATCCTGAAATGAACCATATTTTTGGGGAGAGGGAGGAACTCTTTTTTCATCAAAGTTAAAAAAAATTGATTATCTAGATCCAATTAATCAAGCCCAACCAAAAAGTCAGCTTGCTATAATGGAGTTGTTAAATCATTGAACAACAAATTTATTAGACATTTACTCCGTGCTAGCTATAAGCCCAGGTGCTGGACATAGAGAGATGAGAAGACAAAGACTCCTCCCCAGAGGTATTTTATCTAAGTAATTCTGCTGTATATTTCAATGCCTCTGCAGCTGATTGGTTGTGGATTTCTTATAGTATATTACTTTACATTCTACTCTAAGCACTTGAAGATGCTGTATCTCAATGGGAATGGATCATTCCCATTGGTTTCTAAGCTAAGGGCAGTGACTATTCTTTCATTTTCTTTGTAACATTCCTTAGCACCTGGCATAGTGCTTTGAAGGCCATCAAGTACAAGAGCTGATAAGTGAGGATAAGTAGCCAATCTTTTATCCACCAAATAAAAAACTGTACTTAAACAAAATATGAAATCCAGCTGGCTAAATAGCCCAATCTGTGGCACTTTGTTGTATCAGGGGGAAGTTTGGTTAAAATGGAACATTCAAATGTGCAGTGTAATAACCAGTTATCATCACTCAGAGCTTCTTAAAAAATGTAGGATCGACTATTCTTGACTATCTACCTCCCTCTATTCAGGCAAACACACAGGAAAAATGAGAAGCCTACACAGTTTACTTTTTTTTTTTTTTTTAACAAAAATATAATTATCCCAAGTTCCATGGTAAGTTATTCCAATATTAAGCCATCCTTACCAATATACACACACCAGAAGCTATGGGTGAGGATTTTTACAGTCCTCATCTCAACTTCATGTATGCTCTTATGCTGGTAATATCCATTTTTATCTCGTGGTTGTCAGATGCCACATGGCCTTGAAAATCATTCACATTTGTTAGTTAAGAAGATAGATTCTAGATTCTCTCAAGTGATCATAAAAATAAAATTTCAGTTTTGATGAGATAGAGGAAACTACATAATAAATAATACAGTTATTTAATTTTAGAACTTGAAATCAAGACATTGTTTAGGGAGAATGAGAAGATTAATAGTCAATAATAACTCACAGGAAATTTATAGGTCACTATTAGTTATCTAAAATGGATATGTGCTAAGGAAGAGACACATTTTTAGTTTAATTATTTAGCAAAAGTTACTAGAAAAAATGGGGCATATTATAAAAAAAAACCCATGTGAGAAGTCCATAAAAACTAAATGGGAATATAAGTAATACATAAGTTAGCATCATTTTACAGTCTTCAAAGCCAGTAATACATGAATACTTAAGTACATTTAATGGTTGTGGCCTAACAGTTCACTTAAGGACAGAGAGGGAAAAGGATGTCGTGGGTGAGTGAAGCGCCAGAGGCTGTTTCATAATATTTCTTAAGGAATGAGATCTAGAAAGAAGGACTGTGGAGCAAACTTTTGAAGGGCAATTGGAAGTCAAGGAATGTAGGCCTAGATAGAATTGGCAGGATATGGTGCCTTTCCTCCTGTGTATGCTTCATCCTTTTTCTTTCCCCCTGTATGTCTTCTGTCTTTCCTTCCATAGCATTTCCCTTCTCTTCTTTTGCATGCTTTTCCTTAATTGGCTGAAATAGAAATATATCATTCTTTGCAATACATCTTCCAAATCTTTGTAATACTGAATGTCGTGTATGTATACATACATATATATGTAATATTTCTTATATTTTGATAAAGTAAAATTCTCTTGCTATAAATTTAGACATCTACTTTTTTCTTCATTGACATTTATGTCCCACCATTTACCACTGCCCCCAGCCCTTTTTTAAAATTTGAGAGGCTTTCCAATAATTTATTTTCTCTGTGAAACAGTGACCCCCATAAGGTTCCTCATCTCAGCTGTCTACCTCCTTCCATTCAGGCAAACACACAGGAAAAATGAGAAGCCTAGAGAGTTTACTTTTTTTTTGTTAGCAAAAATAAAATTGTCCCAAGTTCCACGGTACCTATTCCAATATCAAGCCATCCTCACTAACATATACACCCAAGGAATTCTTTCACATTGAGGTTTATGTTCTTTTTTTCTCTCTAATTCTACCTTTTTTAGAAAGACTAATTTCAGTTTTTATATGGAACCATACATACAACCTACTATTAATTCACTAAGCAACTTTCTCTTTAGAATAACTAATCCTAACATCTCAGTTATCTTTCAGGAGACAGTATAGTACACTGTTAAGAACAGAGGCTCTGAATTCAGACAGACCAAAGTTTTAGGCCCCTGCCACTTATTAGTTGTGCGGCCCTGTGCAAGCTGACTGCCTTCAAGCCTCAATTCTTTCAGCTGCAATATGGACATAATAATCATACCCACCTCACTGGGTTACTATAATATTAAACAAGATAAGTTTAAGGTTCTTAGCATGCTACTTGACATTTAGTGCTCAAAAACTTCTCACTACAGTATTTTCATGTTGCAAACATCCATGTTTAACCAAAGCTTTTCAAATAATATAGCCCTCTTCTTTCTCTTCTTAATCCCTTTACTACTCTAGTTCTTCTTCATCCACAAAGCCTAGGCTCCAGTGTTCTGACCATAATGTGATGTAAAATATTAAACTGCATAGATTCTAACATGCTATATACTTTAACAACCCACTCTCAATTTTTCCTTACTGTACCACTGCCAAGTTGATTCCTACTTTAAGAATGTCTTTCTCCTATGAGCTATAGGAAATAATCTGCTTCTAAACTTTTCACACTCCTTTTGAGTTGAAAGGTAGATTATCACTGTTTCTATTTCACAGATTAATAAATAGAGGCTAGGAGAAGCTTAAGGGACTGAAGAGATGCACAACAGTCAGTGAGAAGGCCTGAAACACTGCCTTCCATGATACTATAATTTATATTATAGACCAGTTAGGATATATTCTTAATAAATATTCTTGAGTTAATTTAGGTGCTCTAATAGTTAACTGTTCTGACTTTCTTTCTTTTGGGGGGACTATTGGAGTCATAAAGTCTTCTTGAAGAAGCATTCAGAACCACAGAGCTGAGCCTGATCACTCAAATACTCAGATGGTGAATGAAGATTAAAGTCCTCTCTTTTCATTTCTGTGTAGCTGTGCCTTCATGTACTGTTACCAAATGGGCCGGATGGCAGAGAAGTGTTCAATAAGCTAGCAACTAGGAGGAATGGGGAAGTTCATACATATGACCTTTAACTGTGTATCAACTGAACTACATGAGAAGTAAATCGAAGGGGGAAATTCAAAATAAAATTGTAATAACAGATGTCTTTTAAGAGATAAACCTAACTAATTTTGAAGGAAGAGTCAAAATCAGCTCTCTAAGATTAATACTTAATTCTTGTCTGTCTTTATTAACTTATTTCAATATTTTCCCTACCTACCCTCCTGCCCTATTCAATTCATAAGAGAAAACAGGAAATAGTTTTCTCCTCTTCAGATCATGGAACTATGGCCCATCTGGCAAAGAAGGTAGAAGCTTTTGCCATAAGAAGATCTTCCCTAGTTGAAATTTCCTTTTAAGTCTAAGCTTTTGAAGCCAACTCTCCCAAGAATATTCCAAATAAATAATATCTCACCTCCTCGACACTTCTCCTTTCTTTATACCAATCATAACTTGTACTGTTATAAAAGTAATATGTTGGCCATCTTCAGCTAGCCCTGACGGTTAATTAAAAAACATTCTATAGAATGATTATCTCTAAGCTGTATTCCTCGCTAAGCCACATGAGTATAGTAGTGCTACTATAGCCAATGGCAGTAAACAGAAAAATAGAGACGGAATTATATTTTGTATTTTAAAATTCTTATTTGTCTGAACTCTGATTTAAGGCTTCTTCTAATTTATGATAAGACCTGGGGCCTTATGGGCCCATATTTATCAGTAAATCTTTCTAGGTTTACCTGAATTTCTTGACTTGTTCATTTGTTAAATATATACTCAACACTGTGCTAGGGTACAAAAGGTTAAAGACCCTGTCCCTGCTCTTGATGAAATTCCAGAAAAAAAATAAAATAATGATCATACAGTAAATGTCTTAGTAGAGAATGAAATGGGAACACAGTATACAGGTATTCAAATCAAACTGCAATCCAATTTTTCATCTTAATAATGGGTGAAAAGGGCTCTGAGTCTGAAATGAACACTTAATTCCAACCTTCCTTGTGTCTTTTGAAGTTACTGTATATTCAATTATGAAGGGCTGATATCTGCCCAAAGAAAGACTTACTTATTAGTGTTTAATCAACAAAAGGAGGTGATAAAATAATGGAAGAAAGACAAAAATTGTGGGCTTCAAATCTCTTTTCCCCATACCAATCCCTTACTACTTCCTGCTTTGTGTTTTTTGAACTTGGGCAAGTAATTTCACATTCTGGGCTTACTTTTCCTTGTCTGCAAGTAAGGATAATATTATCCTCCATACCCAATGACAGGGCTGAAAAGGATGACTGATCAAGGCTCCTCCCACTCAAATCTACAATCTGAATATTTCCAGATCCGAAAAGGCAGGCAGGAACTTTCCGAAGGGTCTAAGGGTAAGGACCTAGGGTCTGGGGAGCAAAGGACAGTGAAGGAGGCCGAAGCCAGTTCTCACCGAGAGGATCTTATCACCCTCCTGGAGCCGCCCATCCAGGGCCGCAGCCCCATTCTCTTTGATGCGGCTGACGTAGATGCCACTGTCGTTGGAGATATACTGCTGATCTGTCCCACCGACGATGTTGAAGCCCAGCCCTGAGAAAATCATGGAGGAGTGAAAGAGACGGGGGCGAAGAAGAAGAAAGATATTAGAGAGGAAGAGGAGAGAGAGAAGAAAGGCCTAGTGAGGATGAGAGGCTGGCGAATCAGACTGTGATGTAGAGCTGGTGGACAGTCATGGAGCAAGGTCAGTAATATTACCAACACAGGTCAAGAGTACCTAGAGCTGCCCACTCAGATTAGGCAAGGCTAAAATTACAAACATAGTGTTCTACATGGTTTGTTGAATATACAAAAATAAAAAATCTATGTAGAACTTAGTTAAAGGATAATGGTAAATTGGGTAGTGGCTCACATCTGGAATTCCAGTACTTTCGAGTGGCTAAGGCAGAAGGATCACCTGAGACTGTAGTGAACCATAATTGTGCTGCTGCACTCCACCCCAGGCGACAGAGTGAGACCCTGTCTCTTAATGAATACAAACATAAAATAAAAAAGAATAATGGTGATTCTTGTAAGATATAAGTTCTTCTACTCATATTTGATTTTGATCCTGTTGGTGGCATTCAGAGGACCCAATTTCTGACATTTCTGGTATTAATGTAACAGAATTAGCTGTATTCATGAGAAGAAGCTACACTTTTCAACCAATTATCAAATGAACTATTCCTAATTTAGTGCAAGATAAATTCCTTACCAAACTTTCCCTTCCACGCCTTTCTTCTCCCAAACTTCTGGAGAGTTTATACATATAGTGTTTTAGAAGAAGTGGTCTTGGGAGTTTCATTTCATTTTTTCTATTTTGGATTTGTAGGGGGCAGTGGCGTAGGTGTCAGAGGAAACCTCAGAACCAGAAAGGTAGCTGCTGCTTCATGGTAGCACTAAATCACCAAATTCACACCTCCTTTTCTACCTCAACTGCAAACAATACAGGATGAGTATTCCTTATCCAAATTTCTGAGATTTTGGAATATTTGAATTATTCTTACCAGATGAGTATTGCTAACCCAAAAATACAAAATCTGAAATGCTCCAATGAGCATTTCCTTTGAGCATCATACTTGTATCTCAGGTTTCAGATATTTAGATTTGGGATGTACACTTGGGTACAATGACAACTTTTATTCACTCTAGTAAAAACTGACTACCCACTGACTACCAACTCCCAATTTCCCCTTTCCCATGTCCCTGACAACCACCATTCTATTCTTTCTATGAGTTTGACTATTTTAAACGGGTATAAAATTTCAGTTATGCAGGATGATTAGGTTTCACAGATCTACTGTATTGCACATTTAAAAATCAGTTAAGAGAGTAGATCTTATCTTAAGCCTTATACCGCAATAAAATAAAATAAGATCTTAAGGGAAAGAAACAGAATACGAAAGAAAGAAAGCCAGCTACCAAAGTGTTTATCTTCATGGACCAATCACTAAGCTGTGGAAAAGATTTCACTTTATAGAAACTACTGCTATAAAAGATTTTACCTATGCATAAAAGAAAAAAAAAGGAAAAGGAACTTTCCTAGGACTTTCTTAATATCAACGACTGGTAAAATTCAGGGGCCCCAGCACAGAGAAATGAGATAGTTTGGGAAAAATTAAAAAATAAAAATCTGGAGGTGTAATTGGAAGGAACGGTCATAATTACCAGCCTACTACTGGTCTCAATTGAAAACTAATGCTTAAGGAGACAAATGTGAGCTTTCTAAAACGTTCTCCCCATTTGTGGGAGGCAAGTTTACCTCTGAAGCTCACAGTATTAACATAAGCAATAGCAAATCAACCAAAGATTTAAAGAAAAACATGACCAAAGAAAGAAGCAACAGAAAACATCTAATTTAAGATGCATACCATGTGCAGGGAGTCTGCAGCTAGAGAAAAAAGGAATATAAGATACACAATAAAAAGTGCTATTTCTGGAAGATGACTATTTAAACTTCTTTAAAGTATTAAAAATAGGAGCCTTAAATTACTAAACAGTTTTTTTGAGTCAGCATCTCACTCTGTTGCCCAGGCTGCAGTGCAGTGGCATGTTCACAGTCACCCCAGTGTCACCCTAATGGGCTCTGGTGATCCTTCTGTCTCAGCCTTCCAAATAGCTGGAACTACAGGCATGCGCTACCATGCCCCATTACTTTTTTGATTTACTGTAGAGATGAGATCTCACCAAATTGCCCAGGCTGGTCTCAAACACCTGGGCTCAGGCAATCCTCTTGCCTTGGTCTCCCAAAGTGCTGGGATTACAGGCTTGAGCCACCACACCTGGCCTACTTTTCTTAGAGCATCCTCAATTTGTATCACAGAAGGTGGGAGGTATTAGAGAAGGGATGGTAATTTGAGATAAGGTGGAAAGGTAGGTGAAATAAGACTATAGATGGCTCTGAAATGAATTCCAAACTGTGACAGGATTGAGCAAGGGGGCTGAGGTCAACCAGTCTCTTCCAGTGCTAACAAACTGTAGAGAAAGGCCTTTTGTGAAACCCAACATCCTCACTGTCGCTAGAATCTCTCACCAAACACTACCGCTGCTTCTGTAGATCTTGGGATCGGGAAGCAAGTGTTAAGCAGCTGAATGCAATATAGCAGCCAACAAGAGGAAGAACTCTGCTACTGGTCATTTAATAAGAAGTGTCTTTAAAAAAGGAGAGTGGAGGGATTCTTACTGAGACTTACTGAAAGAAACACATGCAGTCTACTACCCACCCTACCAAAGTCACATTATATAAGGACATTTATAACCTACTGCTACTTTTGTTGCAAATGAATCAAACCCTTAACATGAGAACTCCTCGACGACCTGAAGCCCTTTGTCCAGTCAGAATATTTACAGAACTGGGCTTGTCTGTGATTCAAAGCATTGCTGCAATAAAGGGGAGTCACCACAGAACTGAGCGGTGGCGGTACCAATTCAAACCTGGGTCCTCTGGATACCTACATGATCCTCAGGTCATCTGTTCAATATACATTATTGATCATTTACTGTGTGTCAGACACTGTGTTATGTTCTGCAAAAGACATAAAGTTAAGCTAGACAGACCCTGCTTTAACCACAAACTGAAGTTCATCCTTTTTCCTGTCCCTTTTAGACACTACAGAAGCAAATCAAAGTCAGAAGATTTGGTTTCAAGTTCAACTCCACAACTTACCAGATATGTGAACTGAAGCAAGTCAGTTTACCTCCGATCCTCAGCCTACTTTTCTGTAAAATAAGGATTACAAATTCTACCCTCTCTACCTCAAAGGGTAATTGCTAGGGCCCAACAACATAAAATTTGAAAAATTCCTTATAAACTACATAGTAGTTGCTACATTGAGTTAAGGTGCTGGAAGAAGTTGTCAACAAACTAGTGGCAGCTATAGTCCCAAACCAGGCAGTCTAATGGAGAAAGGATGAATAAATATACAGCATAAATGTGAACCCTCCTGAAAGTTGGGAAGACCAAGACATTTAACAGTCCATCCACCTATAAATAGGAAAAGACTAACTGGAACTCAAACTTACTGAAATTAAATATGCCTACAACCTGTGACCTACAGTAGTTTCTAGCAAGGGTGATATTTAAAATCTGCAACCATTATCTAGCACATGCACCAACAAATTGAAACACTGGCTGGAAACCACCAGAAAGGGAAAGACTATTCAGTACACACCTGCTAATTATTGGATATGTTCCAGAAAAATCTTCCATGAGTAGGGTGACCACATCTCTTTGTTTGTCTGAAAGTCTTGGTATACACCTGTTGCCCCAGTATAATTAAAAGAGTCCCTCTTCAATTTCAAAAGTATCCCAGTTTGGACAAATGTGATCATCCCATCTATAAAAGGTAATATAAGAATATGTTCATTGTAGTGTATTTTGTGATATTGTGGAATCGAAAATTTAGGTGTCCATCCTTTGAAGATTAGATTTAAATACAGTTAAAAGTTACAAGCACTTAATAATCATATACATATAAAGTAAAGAGTTTCTAAATGTAATGTTGACATTTGTTGCATACCTTCCTATAAATAAAAACACATTCACACAAAACAGTATTACCTATTTACACGCAAATGAATGCATATGTAAGGACATGTAAAAATACATTAGAATGGGTGCTTACGGGGGAAAGAATACAGGACAGGACTTAGGTATGAAAGGTAAAAATAGGACCAGGCATGAATGTACTGATGATAATAGTGTGAGTTGGAGCTCAAAGGTATAATTAATTCACCTCTCAACCTCTAAGGTCCAAAAGGGGTTGAGGAAAGAAGGAGAAAGAAAAGAGATTGGGACTCAACAGACTTTTTAAAAAAGTGAGTGAATAAAGAAGTGTTGCTTGGTGAACTCTGGTTATAACGTGCCGATAAAATTTAAAACATAGCAGGATTAAAATGAGTTTCTTGGCACGCAATTTAGATAAGCAATCTAGACATAAAACAGTAAAGGTAGCAGAAGAATGACAGCACTATAGGACTGGGAGAGAAAGAAAGTGTGCTTAGAAGAAGAACCTTGGAAAGTTAAACAAGAAATGCCTTTTTATGGACTCCTGACTACAGGTCTGGACCCTGAGCTTGTTTATGTGTAGGAGCAACAGCAGCAGCAACAGCTACTATTTAGGGAACACTTAATAAGGTCCAAGTAATAAGTTCCAAGTAATAAACTATACACCTTACATACATTTTTCTCATCTAATTTTCTTAACACATGAAGTGAGTATTACTCACTTTTCACAGATTGAGTTTAAAAAGAAAGGCATGGAGAGATTAAGCAACTTTACAAAAAGGTCAGACAGTTCTTTGCAAAGCAAAGACACTAAGTCATGCTATCTGATTCCAGTGTGAATTTTGTAACCACTTAGCTACACAGCATCTTTGCAGAAAACATGAATGAAGTATTTTAGGAAAAAGTCTCCTAAGCATTGTTGGCTATCTTGATAGTCTTTGAGCTGGCTCCAAATAAGCAATGTTGTAGAATGGTCCCTAAGGGGGTAATATGTTCCAAAAGTCCAGAATTCATCACTCTGGAATTTTGTCACTGTAGTCAGGGTCCCTATTGCTTACCTT